TAGGAAACCCTGTGGGGCAGTTCTACCTTATCGTATAGGTTCTCTATGAGTTGGAACTGACTCTATAGCACACAAAAACAACAACAAAGCCAGAACAATTAAAAACTATATGCATATAAGTATCAGGATACAAGATAAACAACAAAAATCAGTTGCATTCCTCTACACCAACAAGAAAACTTCGAAGCGGAAATCACTAAATCAATACCATTTACAATAGCCCACAAGAAGATAAAATACTTAGAAATAAATCTAAACAGAGATGTAAAAGAACTACACGATGAAAACTACAAAACACTACTGTAAGAAACAAAAGACACCTGCATAAGTGAAAAACGTACCTTGCTCATGGATAGGAAGACTCAACATTCTGAAAATGTTAATTCTACCCAAAGCGATCTACAGATACAATGCAATCCCCATCCAAATTCCAAAAGCATTTTTTAATGAGATGGAGAAACAAATCACCAACTTCATAAGGAAAGGGAAGAGGCCCCGGATAAGTAAAGCATTACTGATGAAGAACACAGTGGGAGGCCTCACACTACCTGATTTTAGAATCTATTATACCACCACAGTAGTCACAACAGCCTAGTACTGGTACAACAGATACACGGACCAATGGAACAGAATTGAAAATCCAAACGTAAATTCATCCACCTATGAGCAGCTGATACTTGACAAAGTCCCAAAGTCCACTAATTGGGGAAAAGACAGTCTCTTTAACAAAGGGTGCTGGCATAACTGGATATCCATCTGCAAAAAAATGAAACAAGACCCATACCTTACACCATGCATGAAAACTAACTCAAAATGGATCAAACACCTAAATAAAAAAATTTAAAACAATAAAGATCATGGGGGAAAAAAAAAAAAGGACAATGCTAGAAGCCCTAATACATGCCATGAACAGAATAAACACTGTAAGTAACAATGCACAAACACCACCAGAAGAGAAACCAGATAACTGGGAGCTCCTAAAAATCAAATGCTTATGCTCATGAAAGACTTAAAGAGAATAAAAAGACAACCTACAGACTGGGAAAAAATTTTTGGCTATGACAAATCTGATCAGTGTTTAATCTCTAAAATATACTGCAAAACAACAAAAAGACAAATAACCCAGTTATATGGGCAAAGGATATGAACAGGCAGGTCGCCAAAGAAGATACACAGGCAGCTAACAGACACATTAGAGAAATGCAAATCAAAACTACAGTGAGATACTATCTCTCCCCAACAAGGCTAGCATTAATCCAAAAAACACAATAAATGTTAGAGAGGTTGTGGAGAGACTGAACACTTATAGACTGCTGGTGGGAATGTAAAATGGTACAATCACTTTGGAAATCGATTTGGCGCTTCCTTAAAAAGCCAGAAATAGAAGTACCATACGATCCAGCAATCCCGCTCCTTACAATACATCCTAAAGAAATAAGAGCCGTCACACAAATAGACATACGCACAACCATGTTCACTGCAGCACTGTTCACAATAGCAAAAAGACGGAAACGACCTGGGTGCCCATCAACAGATGAATGGATAAATCATGGTATATTCAAAAAATGGAATACTATGCAATGATAAAGAACAACGATGAATTCGTGCAACATCTCATAACATGGAGGAATCTGGAAGGCATTATGCTGAGTGAATTTAATCAGTCACAAAAGGACAAATATTGTATAAGACCACTATTATAAGAACTCAAGAAAAGGTTTAAATGCAGAAGAAAACATTCTTTGATGGTTACGACGGTGTGGAGGGAGGGAGAGGGGTATTCACTAAGTAGATAGTAGACAAGAAGTATCTTAGGTGAAGGGAAGGACAATACACACTACAGGGGAAGTCAGTACAACTGCTAAGAAGTTTCCTGAATACAACAAAACACTTCGAGGGACAGGGTAGCGGGGGTGCACCCCCAAACTCTGTAGGTAATTAGTTTTATTAGTTTTTGGTTTATCATTCCATTGTTTCTCTCTGTATGTATGTATATATGTGTATGTTTGTTTTTTCAAATAAAAACTTGTTCTGGGTATCACACTATAGTAACTTACAGAATTCTTAGTCATTCATTTTACCATCATGTAAATGGAGCATAATTTATTCTACCAATCCCATTATCAATCATTTGGATTGTTTCTAGTCTTTTGCTATATTACAAACACTGGCACAATCAATACTTACAGAAATTCCATTGACAGTTTTTGCCAACTATCCTTAGATTTTTCACAGTAGAATTCTGGAGCCAAAGGGTACATGTGTAAATGTTATAGATAACGCCAAATATCCCTCCACTAGCAATGCATGAGTATGCTTTCACATGGCATTGCCAACAAAATATGTTGTCAAAATTCTGGATGACTGTCAGTCTGATAGATAAGAAAAAGTACCTCAGTGTAGTTTTAATTTGTAATTCTCTTATGAGCAGGACCAAATCACTTTTCTCATGTTGAAGGGCCTTTTTTGGGGGGGAGGGGTGAACTGGCTGTTCACAACTCTTATTCATATTTTTAATTAGTGATTGGTATTTCTCAATTTTTGAAGCTCTTTATAGAGTAAGGATATCGGCCCTTCATCTGATACAAGTTTCAGACATTGTTTCCCAGTTGTATTTTTATTTCAATTAAGGTTTAGTTTTAGACTTTGTATAAGTTTACCTATACTCTGTCAAATTTATTAATCTCTTCCAGACTCTGAATTAGAAAAGCTTTCTTCACTCTCAGGTTTTTCACCCTGATTGCTTGCATGCTCATAACAGATTTTATACTTAAAGGTCAGATTAACTATTTATAAAATTCTTGTTTCATTTCGACTCTGTCCTATAGGGTCGCTATGAGTCAGAATCAGCTTGACAGCGATGGGTTTGGTTTTTGTTTCATTTCATTTCCATGAGTATCTTAAACAAGTTGCTCTACTGTCCTCGTTTGAAGTTCTGTGGTCAAGAAGCAGTATGTCAATCTAATTTTCTGTCCCTTATAAATTAACTGATCCTTTTGCCTGAGCGCTCAAAGGATCCCCACCACCACCACCTTTCAAAATCTAGTAATTTCACGAGAATGAGTTGATTTTTCCAGGATAAGCATGTCTGTTCAAAAATCTCTTACTTCAGGAAAGTGTTCTTGAATTAATTGTTTTATGTTTGCTCAGTTCTACTCCTTTAATTTTTTTGTTTTTCAGGAATGCCAATTACGTGTACATTCAATCTTGTCTTCTATACCACCTTCTCTTAAGTCTTTTTCATTAGCTTGTCTTCTTTTTCCTCTTTTATCCCCTATTTCCTTTACATACTCGTCGTAGTACCTATTTACACTTGTATTCTTCCAGTTTTGTCTTCATTTATGAATTTTCCCCAGGTTATTTCAAGGGGTGTGTAGACTATTTTCACATTCTCTTGTTGTTTAGTCAACTCATTTCTGAACTTTTCAACTTCTGATGTATGCTGTTTTGTCATGGCTTCCAGTTTTATTTTTGAACATTTTATAATATTAAAATTTTCATCTGCTTTTCTATGTACTTTTACCATCTGTCAGCATTTTGTTCAGTTCACCTTCTGCTTTTTTTAATGTCTTCGTATGATGGTCGATTGGAATTCTCTTCTGTTGCTCATGTTTAAATGAGATGGAATTTTTGAATTTTTAAGGTTCTAGTTTAGGGGACTGGAATGAGCCAGGCTTGCTTTCTTAGTTTCACTGCTCAAGGACTCCGTTCTCTGTAATTACTGATGTATTAGAAAAGACAGCTATGTGTATCCACCTACATAGTTCCGAGACTATCTCCCTAGTATTTGAGACTTTACTAGCCTGTGCAAACTGGATACTACCCTCAATAGTTTGGGGT